AAAATCACGTGATTGCTAAACAAGGGGGAGGGTGCATCCGGCCTCCTCGGCTGTAATTGGTCCAGCCCAGAGTCGATCATGACCAATTGGCCAATCCAACACCTTTCATTATATATACCCTTCTTAAAAAAAAAAAAAAAAAAAAAGATCCATCGGCCCATAAAAACAAAAAATCGCGGTGTACTCCAACCCACCTCTGGCGCTGGTGCCCTACCCTCAATTTTAAATGCATTTAGACACTAAGGGTTTTCGGGAAGAGCCGTGCTGCTCTCTGAGAGGAAGCTAGTACCATGCTCTCCTGAGTTTTAAATGCACTGACCGACTGTTAACTGTATATTTCTGTACATTTAAGTATTATTATTCATAGTGCTGCATTTATTGACCTTTTTTATAGGTAATTTCATTGTTTAATCACATTAAATTGTTCCTAATTTAATGTTTAAAAGCACTTGAAAAAGGCAAAATCCATGTAAAATTAGGGCAACAAACTGTATTGTCATTACTGAAAATAACCGTATTTTCATGGGAAAGTTATTTTCTGTGATTTTATCGTATTATTTTGGTGCCCCAGCTGCCGGAAAATTACTGTTTTTTTAGGATTTTTTTTACAGTGTAGTTTTCCAGCCTGGACGGGAACATAAAGTAGAAATCAGCTTGATTGCCGAGCAGTTAGCAGTTAGCGATCAGTCTGACTGTGTCAGAGATCATTGTTCCTTGGCACAGCACTAATTAAGTTAACCACTGTTGTAATTATTAAACACTTTACTGGAAATTTAATAAACAGTGACCCTGTATTTCCCCCCTTAGTAAAATATAACTCTATAGAAGCTACGCCTCCAAACATCTGCTGGGCTTATCATGTCTGGTTTGCTAGATTAGCTAACTACTCAGCTACACATTAGTTAGTAGCCAAAGCCCAATGACGTGGCAGATCAGCATCAAGTCTGTTGAAAGTTGCTTTTGGTCAAGCATTCTTTTAGTGATAAGCCATAATGTTGTATGTACTCCTGAGGTCGGTGTTCATTGACCTAGCGTACCAAGAAGTATGTCCGCTAAAAACAGCCTAACACAGGTTACAAAAAGTCATCTGCCTGTCCGAAGGTGATATGTAGTTGACATTACTGTGTGTTTGAGACCTTTGTGGGACTGCAGCTCTGTACATTATATAATGGCATTTGTGTTAGTGTGAGTTCATGTGAAAAGGTGTTTCTGTGAAGCCTAACAGCAGAATGGAAACAGCCAACAGGAGGAGCGGACGTGTTCTTGTTAGAGAGGGTCAGACCTCCTGAAGGTCACGAATGGCAAATAACCTAACCCTAACCCTAACCCTTCTTTCTTAGTAAACCTTCTAAGCTCCTCGCAGTTCTTTGGGCTCATTATTTACATTTCCCACGTGCTAGGTTTTGGAAATCTGCTGTTTCTTTGCAAAATGTTTGTGACTTTTCAGTTTGAAATACCGAGTGGTTCACACAAATTGCATGAACCACTCGGCATAATTGATCTGCTTTGGATTGCTTTGTAATGAAGTGCTCTGGTTTGTTTGACTGACTGCCTTGTAATCTAATTAGCATCCTTTCATTTTGTGAATTGAAACATGCTTTAACACCAAGTCACTAATCCAGTCAACGGATGCTGTGTAGAAACATGGTGCGCACATCTTCAGGATGTGGTGCTTGTTTGTTTTCAGTTTCAGAAATAAATCGAGGCTCAGCTGTTCACACTTTCATCTTTGCTCAGGATAAAAATATGCAGTCTTCTTGTGTCCTCCTTACAGCTTTCACATTTTAATCACAATATAATTCAGATTCCTTTCTCTGTAATCAGTTGTTCTTATCGCTGAAGCTGTGACAGTGTACCATCCATTTCTTTTTCTCGTCATCTCTCTAGCTTTTGTCTTTTAAAAGTAACTAATGATCCTCCTAACGGCTCTGAAACAACACTTTGAACAGTTTCTAGATTAAAGATATGCATCTGTGGCACCAAGGCTTTGGGCTAGTCACCTATTACAGTTACATTCAGATGACTCTGTGGACTTTAAACTTGGTTTTCAGTTGATACTTTTACTGATTTTAATTTATTATGCATCTTGTTTATGGCTTTTAATTTTCTTATTTATTTTACTTTATTTGTGTCCAGCACTTTGTGACCACTCGTCTATGGAAGGTGCTTCATGAACACTTTTATAACCTTTGTAAATGTTACTTACTGTCTGTGTCCTTCGCCCCGATGGTGAGATTGACCTTAATTTAAAGAAGGGAATAAACAAGAAAGGAAAAAATGAGGGATTTAACCTTCAAAGGTGCACATTAGCTGGAACCAGAGCAGTATTCAGGTGTTAAAGAGGAAGGCAAGCCTAACAATCACAAAGTGACTCTAACATAACTGTAGCTCTTCCTTCTGTCGCCCTTAGCTGTGTGCTACAGTAGATAGTGTGAGAGCTCGAGTGACTGAGAGAACGATTCTCTGGATTCTGCTGTTCACGATTATTTGATTTATACGTGCACATTAAAAAATAAAGGCCCTCTTCCAGGGATATTCCGTTACATAAGTGAATCCTCCCATTCCCCTTCCTCACTTGTTACCAAGTGGCTGCTCCATGTGGTAACTTTGTATTTCAGACAGACGTTATTCCTCTAATGTGTAGCAGCGAGAAGTTTGCTGTTATCCAGTAAACCAAAATTTAATCAACATTTCTGAGCCACTAAGATAGATTTCTACAATCAGATATTGAACCATGTGACACATTGCTGTTGCTACAGTGCTGATTTGAGGCTCACTTCCCATAGAAGGAGCAGGGAAAGAACAGAAGCACCTGGAATTAGCTCAGATATTTGCAGATCTACAGTGGTGGGTGGGTGGGTGTCAGATTGTGCTCATTATGCAACACAAATTCACACTTAAATTGAAAGTAGGCCATAGCACCACAAATCCATTCACATCTCTGTCAATGCAGTCATCAACATTGAGTTACTTACATGAGCTCCTGGTGGATGTAAAGGACACTTCAGGGAAATTTGTGAGAACAATGGCTCGCTGATGTTTTTGGACCTCATTTACACGTGGTATTTTCCTGCAGTTGTTGTATGGGTACACAAACAGTTGTTGTGTCAGATTCTGAGTTTTGTGTGTCTGTGTGCAGCTATCTAGACAGCCTAGATCGAATTGGTGCGGCGGACTACCAGCCCACAGAGCAGGACATCCTGAGGACCCGAGTGAAGACCACAGGCATCGTCGAGACACACTTTACCTTCAAAAACCTTCATTTCAGGTCAGTATCCAAAGCGACTGCTGCCCCGATGTGTGCGCTCGGTGCTTCACTCTCAGCGGTGCCTTTTACTGCTCCTCTAGCCAAGCGTACAGTAGGAACTCCAGCCTGTAATTAATGAGATTAAATGCTTTAAACAAGTGTCTATATTTATGATTCCCTTCCTTTTAAATGAGCTCTGATTCAATTAGAACAAGGAGCCGTGGGAATGATGACAGAGAGGAGAGGCATTATGGGAAAGAGAAGGGGCGAGTCCTGTTCTGGCGTCTAATCTAATCGCTCATTTTCCGCCCTACTTCTGTGGATGTGTGCAGGTATAAGCACACATTCATGTCCTAACTGAAGACAGCAGAGGGGTTAATACGTGTAGCATAGACACCAATTATTTTTCTGGATGGATGCACATCACGTTTGGCAGCTAATGCTTGTTTTGCTTTTCCTCCTTCTTTTGCTTGGGTTATATTGTGCAGTTCGTTCTGCTGAGTGATGCTTTCCTCTGTCACTCTCACTGTTGTGTAGGAGTTGTGCTGGGTGTGCTTTGTTGAAGAAGCCTAAATATTGTCAGCTCAGTTGCTATTACTAGCAGTCAGGCAGTGTGTGGGAGGCTACAGTGTTCCTCTCCTGGGTGTAACCCATGAACCTACCTACCATTATACCCATCACAGACTTGACTGACTTCATCTCACTGTGGATTAAGTCCTTTAGGGTGGTTGTTATGTTCTTTTCTAAAATTGCACATCTGAATCTGGTCATTTGCAACATCAGCTGACTTACTTTCAGTGCAGCACACTCCTGTTTTTTGGTTAGTGTGTGTTTTTGTATACTTGTGACAGATGTTGAGCTACCTCAACAGTTTCAGCTCTAGTGCAGTCCTCAGAAAATCAAACCTGACGTCAGAAATTGCCACGTGTCTGTGGTAATCGATCCGGAAAACTGTCGCTGCAGAGGAGAGACGGGAGAAACAAATCCAGATACTCTGAAGCTCCATTTCACTCACTGTGATAAAACCCTGATAGGATTTAGCGTCAGGCAGCAGGTACAGTGTGCATACGCAGAGGCACTGTCCTCGCTCATGCAGAGGAAATCCTAATAGCAACCTTCTGACGGCAAATATAAGAGCTCCTTTGTTTATCTGAAGAGCGTAAATAAGTGAAAGTCACATGTCAGATCATCATCAGTGATAACAGTATAAGGAAATGATGTCAGCATAAAAACTGTTTCAAAAATCAGATTCTGAGGAGAAAAGAAGGAAATCCAAGAAGATCTTTGTGACGGCGCTCGGCACGCTGTTAATATCAGACATCCTCAGAGCACCTTCAGGTCCAGGAGCGAGGCCAGAGTCCTTCTGTGTGGACGTAAACCTGTTATTAGGACTGTGTTATACCCACGGACTGAAAGCTGCTTTACTCCCCGGATCTCCGTCAGTTTGGACGTCTGCTAAGAAGTCGTTCTCAAATTGAATCAGGCTTCGAAATGAGCTTCAAATTGAATCACTTTCTAATTTGACTTGACTGAATTTAATTTATTATTTCTATTTTGTACAAATGTAATAATTGACGATTTCAATTATGTTTGTGTTAAAAAATCTGATCTTGTTTCTCGTGTTTGTCTCTTGTGTCCATCAGGCTGTTTGATGTGGGAGGTCAAAGGTCAGAGAGGAAGAAGTGGATTCATTGTTTTGAGGATGTCACAGCCATTATTTTCTGTGTGGCGCTCAGCGGATATGACCAGGTGCTGCATGAGGACGAGACCACGGTAAGGACACGTGTTCACAGCTGTGCTCTCTCTCTCCAGTGAATCCGTCCCACGTTTATGCATTCTGGATTTAGGAAAACAAAGGTCACGGCGCACACGACAAGCAGCCAGTGTAAAGATAGATCTATGTTTGTCACATGTAAGCGGACACAAAGCTTGTGACAGGGCTGGAGAGAAATGTCTGAAGAAATCAAGCCGTGCACGTCTGAAAGGGTTATATATAAATACCTAATGCATTCCCATTAGGACCCACAGACTGACTGTGGTAAACCACACGTCGTGCTACACAGTGAACTTCTGTGGAATTATCCTCTGGGCTTTTACTCACTTCCTGCTGCAGAATACGTGAGGACGCTGAAGTCCCCACGGAAAATAGTTTTCAGACTTTTTGTTTAACAAAGGTTGTAACTGAATGCAAAGGTACATGCGAGTTATTTTTCTCCATGCAAATTATTCTTCCCTGCAACGCACAATAAACAAATTTCTAACTTGGACACAGCGAATGTTCCACATGATTCAACACGGCGGCTGTAGAGTCCGGGACGGGTGAAGTGTCGTCACTGCAGAGAAGAAAGAAGCGGTGACATTAACCACAGAGGATCCCTAACGATTATATCGCGTAACCTAAAACAAATAAGCTGATTTGAATGCACAGCACTCGCTGCTATTTATAAGCAAAGAGTGAATCCTGGGAGAATTCCAGGAAGTCGAAATGTGTTCAGGTGCTCATCTATTTATGCAGCTGTCATCAAGCTTCCCTCTGAGCTGGGAGCACCAGAAGACGGGCGCTGGAGGAGAGGAAATATCCACCACAAAATGTGCTCACAAATAGCTTCGCCCTGTTTTTGCCGCTTGCATTTAAAATCTGTTGTTTCTGTGCCTCCATATAAATAGCGGTGCAGTTGTAAACAGGCGTAGCTTTGAGCTTGCTGTTTCACAGTCGTGCATTTGTCTTTACAAACCTGTGTGGAAGAAGCAAAATCCCACCGAAAGAAACAGGCTGGACCTTTTTCAACGGCGAGCTAGTGATTCTGATTTGTTGACGTAGAAACCGTGAAAGAGCGTGAAAGGCTGCCTCTGTTACCTCTGCACCAGTGCCACAGGAGTTTCAATCAAAAGTGTCGTACTTAATGATCGCTTGACAGAAATTTACAGTATTGCTAAGGTCATGAACGAGAGACGTGATGTGACAGCTGAAAATCCCAAGACACAACAAGACAGATCCAGGCATCCAGCGGTAAACACGCTCATATGTTCAGACAACACGAGCTGGAGTGTTTTTGTTTTTGCAATCTGACTGACGTAATTCTCAAATCAACACTAATATTGTTGAACCAAACAGTTTTCAACGAGCTGCTGCATCCTCTGCCAGTTTTACTAGCAGATGCGTCCGTATGCGCACAGTGAGGATGTTACACAGTCGAATGGTAAAGATACCCCCCCCCCCCCCCCGACCCGGCAGTAATGGGAGTGATACATACTGCATATCCCTTCTGGGCAGTTCATCAAAGTCGCTGATAGGCTGTGGATTTAATTAGCATGGCAATATTTCCCATTATACTGATCCTTGCTGGACGGGAGATTTTTCTTTTCCCTATCAGACCGAGATCGTGCGTCTGCAGCCCTCACTGCTCTGTCTGCTGACTTGGTTCGAAGGCTGTTTCATGCTGCATGACGACATGCTCCGTGCCTGCATTTAACTGTGTTTAATGACGTTTGAAATAGTTTTCCCAAGAACTCCCAGAATACTAGAGATCGCCAAAGTCACACGACTCAGTCTTTTAATGTCACTATACACATGTACAGTGAGAGCCACAGTTAGTGTGCAAATATACAAATAAAAGTGTTATATATTTACAGTGTGGGTTATTGCACAGTATTGACGGTAGTTTATGTACAGAGGGAAGTCCTGGGATTGGGGGGTGGAGCTGTGTCGTCACGTGTGAGCTCAGGGTGGCTTTTGGGAAGAAACTGTTACATTATATCAATGTGTTGTTATTATCAGTATTATTATTATTATGTATTAATAAATAATGGTGGCACAAAACAAAATAGGTTCATTCACATTTCACTGTTATGAACTCCTTGACATTATACATCCCATAATCACCCACACACATGACATTTATAACACTTCTGTTTAAACAAGAGATGACACGTGTGAGTTACAGCTTCAAAGATAATGCTTGAGTGAATGTTTCTTAAAGCCATTGGTAGAACAGGAAAACTTCTTATAGCTGAGATTTATTCGTGGGCTGTTTCGCAGGACAGAGAAGAGCTGAAAGAGCCGCTCGCCGGCTTTCTGACCTTTTAAAAAGCATCAGTGTGTTAGAGAGACATCGACACGGCTCACGCTACACTCAGTGCTGTTGCTTTGTTGTTCTATTGCGTCTACTCCAGCCGCTCTGGCATTGTGTTTTTTCTGTGTCACCTCCTCATTTCTGTTGGAGCGCTCTAACGAACACAGGCGTATCCCCCCACCCTTTGACGAGACGACTGCTGTATGTGGATACTGTCTTCCTGCCTAAACACTTTCCTTTTAGCACTTGGGATGCATGTGTGTGTATGTGGGATAGAGGACGGGGGGTTAAAAAGGAAGTGGGACTTGGGTTGGGGCGACGGGGTCCCTTGCATTTTCTGTTCCTGCTCTAAGCTCCGCCCTGCAGCATCTCTGGCTACTTCCACTCCTCCTGTCACTGTTGCCATCGACTGTCTTCTCTAACCAATCAGCAGTCAGATCTTCTACAGAAGCTCCACCCACAGACAGGTATGAAACCACCCCGATAGGTGTACGCACACTCTGAGAGTTGAAAGCAGCGCCTCTTTGTGTCTGTGAGCCGCTCAATCCAAAAATGTTGTCTGGCTTTCTCCTCTCTCTTTCTTCCTGGTAACTTTTTAAAGCTCTTCTTAATTTCCTAATTTTCTATAGATCTGTTTTTCCCTAATCCAATCAGCTGCTTTTGCTCCCCTGTCCTGATCTAAGCAGGAAAGAAATCAAACTGGAGAGAAACTGCTTTCAACTCTGTCTCTGAATCAATTTCACTGTAGCATGAACGGGTTTGTTATGAACAAATAATCCAGGCCTCAGTTTTGTTTCATCTTCTACTTATTTTAGTAGCCAACCAAACAGTGGATACTAATTATTCATTTATGAAGCACATGCATTGTTCCTGTTTGGCCGAGAAGATAAATATAGTCAGAAAACACTTGCAAAGCTTTTAGTTTCAAAGTGCAGTAATAACTTGAGCCTCCTCTTCCTCCTCCTCCTCCTCTCTGCCTTTACACTTCATTACCTCCACAAACTGTCACTGCAGCTTTTTCCTCAAATACATGCTGCCAGCCCGTGCAGTCACCCCCTCCTCCTGAAAGCCTCACTCTGCAGGGCCCAGAGTGGGTGCTTGTGCTTAGTTGCTCAGTGTAATAGAAGCTAACTGGCTAAAAGAGCATGGCTTTGCTATTTAGATTACTAATAATGTTGATTACTGATACGCTGATACAAATACACATACCCAGATATACGTGTCACTTTCCAAGAGGAACTTCCAGGACTTCTGTTCTTAGATTCAATTTTAATTCCTCTTTGTGTTAAGATTGTGTGCATGTGATATGGGTGTCCTTAATTTCGCTTTGTGTATGCATGTAGGTGAATACTATATGCCCGCGTTTCTGTTATGTGCTTTTACAGTGTGTTAGTGGTTTGAGGTTTAACAGCCCCGTTAACTCGTGCTAATGTCTCTCCTGCAGAACCGCATGCACGAGTCTCTCAAGCTGTTCGATTCCATCTGTAACAACAAGTGGTTTCAGGAAACCTCCATCATCCTCTTCCTGAACAAGAAGGACCTCTTTGAAAGCAAGATCAGCAAGTCACCGCTGTCCATCTGCTTCCCTGAGTACACTGGTACATACAACCCTGCACTGTGACATCTCATGAAGTGTACTTATGTTAAGAAAAGCCAAACGTGGGTTCTAAAACGAGAACTAGAAGCTCTCCGAGAGTCCAAACCTGCACCGAGGATTTACTTTTAAGGGAATCGTTCTTTTCTATGTATTCATTTTATTTTTGTTTAAAAAGTTTGCAGTGCAGTAAAGGAAAGGCAGCTGTGAAGTGGAACAGTGAGATCAGAGGTTAAAGGTGACGAGATATTTGAACGCAAACTATAACGTGATATTTAGAAAATCCATATGCCGACATCATTCCCTAAATGTTACGATACAAACAAAAGGTTCAAAGATGAGACACATTTTATGGAAATTTGACCTTGAAGAAAAGGTCAGAGGTTACGTCATTGCTTACACAGCAGGAAACAATGTTTTAAATAGTTAAACTTTGACCTTTGGATCAATCTCTCGACTTTAAAGGAGGTCAGATATCAAATATGTGGCGATATTTGAACTCTTTATATGGTGCTTTCTATATATTGACAGTACACACTTGTAAGAGTGGAGCCTGGCCTCAGTCATAATCTGCCCTCTCCTGCTTAGGCCACAGGTTACACTGCCAGGTATGCAGTACGCATTCAGATAACTACATCAGCAGCTACAGCAGTGTTCCTGCTTGACATCAGAGCTGCAGGCTTTAAGAAGCATTAGTTCCCAGCTAGATGTTGCTTGGTGGCTCTTTACAGCATTCGTCAACACTGAAATGGAAAAATATGTTTACTATTCAACTTTATTTACACAGCGCCAAATCACAGCAACAGTCGCCTTAAGGCGCTTTATATTGTAAGGTCGACCCTACAATAATACATACAGAGAAAAACCCAACAGTCATATGACCCCCTGTGAGCAGCACTTTGGCGACAGTGGGAAGGAAAAACTCCCACTGATAAAGACATGCTGTGGAAGAGAGACAGAGGTTAATAGCACGTATGGCTCAGTGCAGAGAGGTCTGTTAACACAGTCTGGCTACAGTATTTCTGCCTCCAGGGTTCGATAGTTGTGTCGATCAGGACCAGGGGAAAAGGTTTGTTGTCCATTTATTTTTTTAAACTGTGGGTGAATCACTTTCACATTCAAACTGCCAGCACCAGATGCTGCTATTAAGCATCGCACACACACCCGTATTTGTAATTAGGCGAAGCAGCAATCGAGCAGAAACGTTGGCAAACTTCTTCAGCTGCTCCAGCTGTTTATTGAAACGAGCCTGAGATCTGTGACAGCTGCTAGCATTAGCTGCTCAGACTAAAAGTGACTTCCCTTTCATAACTGCATTATGGTGTAAAAGTCCATTCTTTTGTCACCACAGTCCAGCTGCACCTATATTAGAGCTGGTGATGTGGTTGATGATTTAAGACAAGCTGTCATTCGCTGAAGTTACTCTTTCATTAAAAACAAGCATGTCGAGATTTCACGCAGAGCAAAAATACAGTGAAATGAATCAGACCTGGCCATTCATATATGTAGCTCTCAGTTTTGAAGTCACAATTGTGCTGATTTCTAAGAAAGTATGAAAGTCGAACATAACGTTGAATACAGACAAAGAGACTCACAGGGAATAAAAGCTGGGGTGTTAGTGGGAGCACGAGAGGAGCTCCAGTGAGAGAGGAAACAAGAGACAAGACAACATGTGAGGCGGGGGGGGGGGGGGGGGCAATGCCAGAGACAGAGAGAGCAAGAGTGTGAGAAATTTATAACAACACAGGCAAAGCAAGATGGTGGGAACGCAAGAGGCCGAGCCAGCGGGACTGTGAGAAAGCGAGAATTAGAATTCCAATCTTGTTTTCGGCCCCTCTTCTCCTCCTCTCTTCACCCCTCTGCAGACTTTGTGCCTGTTCTGATGAAGTTGCCACCGAAGCAGACAGACGAACCACAGTGCTGCTAATGGCTGAGAGCCAGATAGATGTTAGCGACACTTGGAACAACATTTGCTCCAATCCGTGAGATCTGACTCATTCTAAAAGCACTGTACCAATTTAAGCTGCATTACCTGCCAAATGCTTGCGTAAAGGCAGAACAGTTGATAATGCTGTTGAGCTAAAAGCTGCACAGTGGATTTGCCAGTGCTGGTAAATTGATCAATGCACGGTACGAATAACGGCTCCGTTATTTTTAGCTTCAGGGCCTCGTATCTGTCACATTCTGAAGTCTGTAACACATTAATAATGTTCAGGAAGTTGCAGTCTGCGCCAGCAATAACAGGACATATTAGTTTCCATCACGTATCATTTATCTGTCTGAAATCACCTCGTCTGAGAACGCGGCCCGTGCATCATTTTTATTGAAGCTTGGCTCAACAGCCGACAGAGCACGCCTCAGCCGAATGTGTGCTGAGAGTCAAAGGAGATGTTTTCAGAAAACATGGAGGGGAGCACACGGATACAAAGGTTCAGATCAAAACCAATCACAGCAGATGGCCCCGCCCCTCCCTGAGCCTGGTTCTGCTGGAGGTTTCTTCCTGTTAAAAGGGAGTTTTTCCTCCCCACTGTCACCAAAGTGCTGCTCATAGGGGGTCATATGATTGTTGGGTTTTTCTCTGTATGTGTTATTGTAGGTCGACCTTACAGAATGAAGCACCTTGAGGCGACTGTTGTTGTGATTTGGCGCTGTATAAATAAAAGTGAATTGAACTGGGGGGCTTTTTCTAACTGTGTGTGTGTGTGTGTGTGTGTGTGTGTGTGTGTGTGTGTGTGTGTGTGTGTGTGTGTGTGTGTGTGTGTGTGTGTGTCTCCTCAGGTCTAAATACTTACACAGAGGGACTGGGATACATCAAGTCTCAATATGAGAGCAAGAACAAGTCACCCAAGAAAGAAGTGTACTCCCACGTGACCTGTGCTACGGACACCAACAACATCCAGTTCGTCTTTGACGCCGTCACTGACGTCATTATAGCCAATAACCTCCGAGGGTGTGGCCTGTACTGATGATGCTGTTAAACTTTGGCCAATGGATGCTGAGTGTTTGACTTGTATGTGAGAGCCGGTCAAATGTGGGGTCTGAGCTGAGTTCATGATGTCATAGTACTCATTTCTCATACTGGCCAAGTTTGAATTAACTGGTTGGTTGTTGGTGGCTGGTTGGCTGAGACATCTTATCTTTTTCAATCCTAATTAAGAACCGTTATTTTAAGCGTGCCTTCTGTCTAAAATCTGTTCTCGCTGCAGATATTTTGCACAATACCGAAGCTGAGAAGCAGAACGAGAGACCAGCTGAGCCGACCACAGTCTAGTGTACTGAATCACTCGTTTACTAGATGTATTTACTTTTTTCCCTTTGATTTCAATTTGTGTATTCATATTTTTGTATCATAAATTTGTGCCTTATTTATACCAAAAGTCGACGCAAACGTGCGTATGATTAGTCTTAGTGGGGGTCAAGTTTAGCTAATTCAAAGCTTTAATCAAAACTGACTTTATTGCAGGCATTTCAAGTACTGAGTGTAAATTTCAGAGCTATTAAGTCGATGAAAATAATTGTATGATATTTTCAGAGTAGTAGAGTTTTGGAGGGTTAAATTCCCAGCAGCATTTGTGCCCACTAAGAAGCTGAGGGGGGAGTTACAGCAACACTGTTGTGAAATGCAAATGATAAAAATAATAATCTATAATGAATTTGGTATGTTTTATTTAAATGGGATTGCCACTTTTACGTTCCCATAGTAAAAAACAGAGTGCACCCTGGTCACTAGTGGGTGGTCCACAGGGACACCACAGACACACACACCTGCTGGCGGCTTGTTTGTGCTGTGAAATCACGTCATTCTAAAGAGTCGGGCTGTGAGAACATATCACCAAATCTTACTGCTGTGCTTTTAATCTGAGTGGAAACGTTTTTGGCCCGTGTAGATTTCAGTAAACCTCCTGATTCCTCTTTTGATTGAATCTAATTTCATAGTGTAAATGAGCGCATAAAGAGGACGTTGTTGCTTGAGCCACGCCGCTGTCATCGTTAATCTCTGCAGACGCCATTCCCGGCTGCAGGCTCATCTCGCTTCTTGCATGGGACTCCTTAAAATCAATTGAAACAAAGAGTCGCAGAAGCTTGTGCCGACTCCCGCGGACAGTTTCCGCCTAGATAAAGCTTCAGCACAAGTATTGATTTTAAAGGGCACTGGCACTGCATCCACTGTCAGGCTGCACCGTGCAATATCCCTGCTGTCCTCCAGTCCACCTTAATAAACCAGAGGTGAGCTTTGAAAGATTACAGACTGATGTGTACGTCCTCTGGGACGCGAACGCAGACTACGATTGTATCCACGCTGTTCTCCTCGTATCTCGACGTCTGTTTGGAATCGATCATAAAGCGAACAGAGGAGTGACGGGCGCTGTTCTGACCCAGCTCAGAGAGATCAGGGCAGTACTGGAGCTACGTCATTAGTTCCTCCGTGTAGCCACAGTTAACATCGTCACATAGAAAGTGTTTGTCTGTGAGACGCGATGGAGCCGATGAAGCCGAGCGCGCTTCCCGCCAAACAGAGTCATCTTTATTTATGAGAAGGGCATTCGCTTTATTCCGCTTTTCCATCCACGCACAAACAACCAGATGTGCCTCCTCTGCTCAGAGCCGCCATTTTTGGAGCACAGGTAGATGTCATCATCATCGGCCCATCCGACCACATCTGTGCCAAATTTAGAAACGGAGCGCTCCCTGAGGCTGTCGTTCAGCCTGCATGCTGTGTGCCGTGCACTGATGTGTATTTTGTGTGTTCATGTTTTCAGATTGTATATAGTTACCTACATGTGTCTGTTGATAGTACAGAAAAGGTCATGGCGTGTGTGTGTGGGTGTACGTGCTCATGAACGTGTGTGTGTTGTGTAAGAGACGACATCAGCCCATGGGTGCTGCGGTGGAGTCAGCATCTGTGGATTAATTACCCAGAGGGCACCTATCTACCCTTTCAGCACAGACAGGCCTCAGACACACAAACACACTCACGGGGCTTCAAAATGTCACAACACCTTACTTGCCAAATAATACTGCAGTTTCCAGCCAAAGAGGTTCACACGGCCACACAGCGAGCCGCTGCCACGACTGCTAAAGGCGCTTCATCGTCGTCTCCTCGGACTGATCTGTTACAGAAAGGAAAACGATCTCTGCGTTCTGAGTCTCTCCTTAGTTTTCACTCTCAGTAGCTTCATTCATTCGCTACACTTTGCATGAAGCTTCTGTTCCTTCCAAACACAAAGCGTTTAGTGTTGACAGGCTGAAATCGGTGCTTAATCCCATCGATGCAAAAATCAAAGTTCTTCTATAAATTCGGATTTTTTTCCTAAACTGGGGAATGATCGCGTACAGAGTTCAAACACGATCCTTTCCCTCCCCGTCTATGCAGTGCAGAGGTTAATATCATTGCAATCGCACATTTCACTCGTAATAAAACCAAATCTCCTCTTACCAAAATGATTTCCCTCTGTGTGATACGCGTAGGAGCACAACTGTGCGTCTGATGCAACAGACAGGGGCGCATCTAGAGAAATTTTCTTAGGGTGGCAAAGAAACCAAATGGGGTGGCAAAATCAAAGCTTTTTTTCCAAACACATATGCAGGTGGTTACATGTGGCTATAATGATTCAAATGCAGTAAGTATGCACGCTTTTCATATAAATATAGTCTATAACTTAATTATTGTCTGTAGCCCACATAATTAAATACTTTAGTTACATAAAGTTTTGATGCTATGTACTGTACAGCCTGTATAATAAATAAATATGTAGCCCAATAAGTATAAAATCCAGAAAGCTACACAACATGGGGCGCTTCATTCACAAACACAAGTCTAACTTAAGTTTCACTGTTTTTGTTAGAAAACAGTCACATTGTTGCAGCTTAAATTACACAAAATGTCAGAAATCTGCACCGTCATGAACAAACATGTAAACCTCATTTTTCATGATTTGTTGGATGAACCCTGAGGTCTGAAATACAACCGGACATTTGTGACTCCTTTTGAGTTTACGTTTGTGTTTCACCCTCAGATCGTTTCATTTCATTTTTCCCCCTCTTACCTTGTTTGGTATCTTTTCAGCTCAACTGAATTTAGTTGTTTTTTTCACTGACATACTGCATTAGTGTTACTGATCTGAAATCACACAAAGAACTTAAGATCCTAGTAGTATTTTTACTGTAAAAAACAGACATGTACATTTTTATAACTTGAATTGCAAATATAAAACGTACATTTTGTAAACATAAACAACCATTTATCTAAAAATGCAGACAATACACCTGCTGTTTTTTTCATTTTGTACAACCATTTAAAAATATTACTAAAACTAAAATGAGAGAACAATCAGGTGTGGCAATAAGATGCCCCACAAATGATGTGTCAGTAAAAAATGGACCAAAAGACAGAAGAGCACAGGGACAAACCTGCAGGCCTGATAACAGCAGGCGTATCACTCCGCTGGTTTTCTACTTAGTGACAGTGTTTACAAATGTGCCTCTGACAGTCATTAGTGCCCTCACTGACACACAAAACAAAACAACGACTACACAACAGAACAACTACACAACACAACACACTAAGTAAACACTCCACACGTCACAAATCTCCCACATCTAAACGCTCTCTCTCTCTCTCGCTCTGTCTCGCTCGCCCTGTTACCGTCACTCCCAAAACTTTTCCCTCTTCCTAAACAACCAAATC